GGGGGGACACCCCAGGCTGCACCCTGCTGACTGCTCAACAACACAGGCACGGCAACAATAGGCACCAAACAGCTGTAAGACTCGCTCACTGATCTCGCACGGCCGAATCCGATTTTTCAGTCGGGGTTTCTGTCTCAACCCAAATCTGCACTCTGCGGCAACACCGACATCAACATATCATTTAGCATCCTTTGTTGGCAGCACTGTGAATCCGACGATAATGTTTTACAGATTACAGTACACAATATAAATGCCGAGATAGTACTCTGCTGAAGGTAAGTCAAAGAATGAGACACTGAATGCTTTGAAAATCCCCCAAATCCACAGATTACAGCAGCAGCAACAACAAAAAAAATCCCCACAAGCCTCAAGTGTGAAATGGATCTGTTACATCTCACACTCTCACAACCAACAGCCTTCCCACAACATAAATGCAACCGATGACATCGAGGCACAGCTTCAAGAGACCTGCGTACAGTGGCGCTGACATGCGTGACTTGATGCTCATCCATCCACCAGTTCCCATCATCCTCTGGAGCATTGCATAAGAGGACAGAGATTACCCTCTCGGACCGAAACATCAACAGTCAACTCCACCTTTCAATTGAATTGAATTACCTTCTGTAGGGAAGGTAAGAGTTGACTGATCTGTCATGTTTTCACATGCTGTGTGCACCTCTGGGTTTCAATCAAGTGTGTGAACAACTGTTTCCTGTTTTAAGTGATTGAGTGATGAATTTGTCACCCCAAACTAAGTCCTCTATTGTGGAAGAATTAACCTTTCTCATGCCAGGAATGTAACAACTAACAAATCTTTTATCATTTAAATTTAAATTAAAAAAATGTAAATGCTTTCTCCCAGACATGGCCCCCCACTTATTAAATGTTTGTCCTTCAATTAATTAGGGAATGTGTGGAAATGATTGGGGGCCACGGGGGTTCAGAAATGGGCAGGGTTAGGTATTTTTAACAAAAAACATGTAAATGTGAAAGTGATGGCTTTTGGAGCTGGAGCATTGGGTATACAGGATCAACATATCCTCATGCAACAATTCGTATGCTATCTTCTGAAAAGTTATCTTTTGTGGGTTCTCCTTTTTAATTCCAGCAACAATAGCGAAAGGTGCGCTATGAAATCAGTTGGTTAGATTTAGAAAAATATCTTGGTTTGATATGTAACAAACTTAAGTTAAAACTAAGTCAACATTGACTTTTGGTTTCACAAAGCATACACACAGCGGTCTCCTGGGTGAAAGTCCTGTGTTTGACAAACCCATCTGTACACCCCAATCCCCACACTGACCTTGTACCTCTTAACACGTCAGCTGATTTTCTTAGAGGCAGCTCTGCACGTCCTGGCTCATGATGACAGGATGCTTCATTTTGTTAAGTTTGCCCTCACTTTGACAATGCAAATTCCATGTATGTTGTGCAATCTGGTGGCTATGTAAATAAGTATTATTACACGAACAGAGTAAGGTTTAAATTGAAGTAAACATACCGTAAATTATTTATGATGATGATTCAATTTCATAGTGTTATTTCACTTTGTATCTTGTGTGGAGTGTTTTGCAGTTTTGAAGGGGGAGCGGCCATAGAAAATTTGACTTTTGCACCCCTCCCCTCCCAACTAATTTTCATACAGTCCCTAACCATTTTCACCTGACAACAGATGAATTGCTGTGTTTTCTGTATAAAGACATTTACAGTTGGCCTCTGCAAAACCTCTGATATTTCTGATTATCAAGTGAATGGTTTACACAGTATAACACCAATTTTGACCCCTATGACCCTTGGACGCCTGAGGCCTCTGGACCCCCAGCTTGGTAGACACATATGTGGGGCAATGTATGAACTCACGTGTACGAGCTGTCGCCTGTAATCTCCTGTTTGATCTGCCTGTTCACAGCATCCGCCGCCGCCCTCCCTTTGCCCTCTCCTTCCACCTTCAGGACAACTTTCTTCGGGCCCTCCTGTTTACTGGTCCTCTTTTTCCTCTCCTGCCCCTGCAGCAGGTCCTTCTCCTGGACCTTGTCGGCGATAGCACTCTTCTCCACACCGCTGTCCGCTCCCGCCGGCTGCTTTGCGTGCCTGGACCTGTCCGGAGCCCGGTCATCGGAGGCAGGCTGTCTCTGTATCCAGGGATGGTCGTACCTTTTCGGGATGGGCCAGGGTTTGAAGTCCTTCTGGTACTGAGTCTCACTGTTGAACGGTGTTTCCGGTTCGTGGTACTCGTTCTTGGGTTTACAGCTCGGCTCGGGTCGCACTTTCCAGTGCTTAAAGTCCTCGCGCATCACCGAACCGCACACGCGCTCCTCGGAGACGCACCTGCGCGGCGGCCGCGCCGAATTCGAGGCGCTAATCTCGGACGGCTGCGTTTCTATGGCGTCCCGGCCCTGGGAAGGGTGGAGCGCTGGCTGCAGCTGGATGTGCTGCATCTCGGAGACGTCCGTGTACTTGGTGAAGACCAAAGGCACCGCAATGTCAGCCTTGTCCAGCTGGTTCCAGAAGCGGGCCATGCAACACGCCCTGCTGATACAGGGCCACGCCATGGTGGGCCGTAGAGAGCTCCACTACAATACAATCAGCACCGGGTCCAAAATAAAGTCAAAATGTGTCTCTACACTCCGGTATCCTGGTATGACAGAAACAAGATGTCCGTGTGTCAGGTAGCGCGGAAAGGCTCCAATACCGTTGACGTTAGATGGAATTCAGTAAATCCATTTTGCTTCCCAAAATAGACAGATTTGAAGGATTTTTATTTCAAAGACAACCTTGCTAACGTTTGCTCTGCTTCCCTCCGTGCCCGCTGTGTCCCGTAAGTCTTGCTACATCACTCCACGGCATGGCACTGCACCGAAAAACAGCCCCGCCCGCCTGCTCAGCATCCAGGAGAGCTGGAGCTGCCGAGGAGGGGGGGAGGGCGGGGGGAGTCAAGTCAGAGAGAATATGGAAAACATTCCGGCTTAGCCTGCGGTCTAAAGACCTTAATTGTGCTCTTTTTAATTAGTGTAGTTAAAAATAAGTATATAAAAGAATACCACATGAGATGTAGCACATAGGCTAATATATCCTAGACAAAGTCTCTTCGCGTGGCATGTCTGTAGCCATATACACTGAGGGCTGCCGCTTTTATTTTGAAATGAGAACACACATTTCCGATATAAAGCCGATAAACACGGTGAGCTTGATGCAGGTTTTTTTTGTTTACGCACACTAGTACAGGATGAGATACGTTTTGGTCCAGCCATCACTTTGCTTCGGTTTCTGTGTCGACGTTTGAGAATGAGAAAATGAATAATCAGCAATGAGAAGCGTTCTTGCCTGAAGTAACCTAAATACAAATCAAAGATATGTATTTTAGGAAGAAATATAAAAAGCTTAAGAATACATTAATATTATGATACCACATTTAATTATGAACTACAATAATCTTATTTGATTCATGTAAATTTAGCTTTCAAAGCTATAAAAACGGTCCACAATGTTAAATGTAAGCCACTGATTCATGTAAAATTGCCTTTGTGACAAAGACACTGCTGGCAGACTGTGCCAGCAAATAGTAGAACACATGAATAATGCCAACTCATTACAAACACTGGGGGCCTGTTTCACATTGGACTACAATTTCTAAGACATCTGACAGACAAGCACATGATCTAAACCGAGGATTTTTTTAATGACGGCTGACAGCTCATTTTCAGAAGCAATGGGATGTTTCTTTTGTTTAAAGGACTGGTGTCTAGGATTTAGCGGCATCTAGCGGTGGGGTTGCAGCAGAAACCCTCCCTTTCCAAGCATGTAGGAGAACCTATGGTGGCCTTCAGGCACATTTGCACTGCATTCACACCACCAAATACAAGCTGCCACTATTATTATTTAACCAGATAATATCCATTGAGATTAAATATTTTTTTGCGATGGCGATCTGGCCAAGCAGTCAGCAAAGTTAAACGTTGAGTGCAACATCAATTTCATACATACAATAAAAAAACATACATTACACAGTGACAACTAAAGTCCATTCATCAACAGAGGAGGTAAATAAACAGAGAAACCAAACGAAACAGACAACCATTCAAAGTTCCAGGTGATTTTACACTGAAGAAAACATAGTTATGAACATTTTATTCCATTTCTGCCGATAGCTCTCCCGAAATGCCACACGCTGGTCCTTTAAGTGCATTTACTTTTTTTTTGCATGGGTACAGGTCAAATATTAACTGACTGGCTGACTGTGTATTAAGGGTTACAAGGCTCGTCCATTGACATTCTGCAACACAGGGTTGCGCAACAAAATGTGAGTTGTAATCCCTTTTGGGCCCCACAAGGAAAGAAAAAAACACTTCTTTTTTTTTACAAATTAAGATCAGTGATGAGTTGAGGAGTCTCACTGAGGAAAGAAGCTGCTCTCTAGTCCTTCTGTATCGCTTGCAAGACGGCAGCAGGGGGTGAAGAGGCTTTTACTGGAGTGGGTTTTGTATTTCTAATATATCCTTCGGGGCTCTACGCAGGCACCTGCACCTGTTCATGTTTGAATGCCGTCCTGTGTTTTAGCATTCTCCTTCCCTGCGCGGTCAAAAGTCAGCTGTAGATAGGGATTGACTTTTTAAGATAAGGCTGTCAATAGGAGGTTGTGGTGGAGAGGCGAAAAGGGCAGACTTTCGACTCTTCACTCTCTCTTCTTCTTTGCCACCAGCTGCAGCGCCTCGGTTTGTCGCTCCTCTTCCCGTGGAAGACATGAAGATTGATTTTGCCCCCTTGGAAGTGCCCGTGCACCGGAGACTGCAGACGGTGGCGGTGCTGCAATGGGTCTACTCCTTCCTCGGCCTGGGTGAGTGTGCATGTTTGTATGGGCGTCCTGCTGGAAACATCTGGAAGCTGACAGGATGGTACTGTTCATGAAGTACACATCTGTACAGCTAGTCTTTGTGTTGCTGTTCGAACATGTTGGCCCAGCTGCTCTTGGGTAAAATGTAAATGAATATGTGCGGTAGAGGACTGTTGTCTCGAGTGACATGAACTGCTGGATAGCCGGAAGAGGGAGCTAAGCAGGACATGACCCGAGCAGAGTGCAGTCCATGCCTGCACACACAAGATTACCCTCTCAACTGAACTCAGGTCACATTGTGTGTTATTCAGAACACTTACAATTTCACATGTCGGCATCCAAGTTAATGTGTACACCTAGTGTATATGTTTAGCTCTGAAAGACCAGGTGTTGTATATCTACACTGTTTGCCTGACATACCCCCCCACAGTCCTGTCACATTCCAAAATGGATGTTATTTGACATTATTAGCCATATAAAAGTGGATACTATTTCTTCTCATACAAGACAAAGTGATCCAGCACGAGGTGTTCAGGTGACTCCAGGTGTGTCCTGTGTAGTCGACTTGTCATATAGCTTATTGATTAATGTGACAATAAATACACTTAAGATTAATCTCACACCAACTTTCTTCATATTTGTTAAAACATTATTTAACCGGAATCCTCATCCTCATCATCATCATCATCATCCTCATCATCATCATCATCATCATCATCATCATCATCGCCTTTTCGAGAGGCAAGTTAGGCAGCAATGAGTTACAAACATCATAAAACAGATAACAAACGATGCCACACAAGATGAAAAACGACAAAACAGGATAACATTTTTAATACAGTCATGTAAAAAATGCCATCTCAAAAACAACTCCTCAAGAGCTGTGTACAGCCATAGAAACAACAAAACCTGTAATTAACCATTCAAGTTTTTCGATCTAATTGCATGTAGGCAAAGGGATGGGAATTCATCTTTTAACACACATACTTGCAGATAATCTCATCACTGGCATCCAGACCATCACCTGATGCGAGTGATCAGGTATGGACGTGGTGTTGTTGGATGTCTGCGTGCCCCCAGAGAAACCAGAGCTAACGACACGGTTAACATATAAAATTGTACTGACATCCCACCATCAGCACGGTTCTGCTATCAGAAACCACCGAACCACTCGTGACGTCATCTCCCAACAGCCCTGAATGCTATTGATCCAGAGCAGACGTCAGCCATTCATAAAATGGCTAATCCCTGCTAAACACATGATCTAGGAACACTTCGTACAGTGTGTTTTCCATTTGTCATGCACTTGTTAACCATGTGTTCAGAGCTGCTGCTCATGACGCTGCTTTCCTCTCTCCTCAGCACCCACCTGCATCATCCTGTTCTTTTACCTGCTGTTCACCCGCTTCTGGCTGATCAGTGTGCTGTACGCCGTCTGGTGGTTCTACGACTATGACACCCCTGCACGGGGAGGCCGCAGGGTGCCCTGGATGTGTGGCTTCAAAGTTTGGAAACACATGCGGGATTACTTCCCCATCAAGGTTAGAGACAGACGATGCACGAGGTGAATGCATCAATACTGTATATGCACAGCTTTGTTCTCTGACCTGCAGAGGCTTTACCTCTGCAGGTCGGAGAACAGGACATCAGGACTTCTTGCTGTGCCATTTTCATTTATCTTATCTTTGATCGCATGTGAGCAGCAGCCCTTATCTCTGTCTTTGGAAGCAAATCAAACCGAAGCCTGAGACCACTGTGTTCCCTACAGTCATACTGTCACGTACTGTGTACACATACCCTCCCTAAATCCTAAAGAGTAGACCTTTATTATTGTCTTTATGTGTTTGACTTATGTTTACATAAGTCCTAAAATACTTTAATGAAGGACAAAGATTAGGGTGCATGCAAGGTGCACAGGTGACATCCAATCTGATGATTTTCATTTAAAAAAACAAACACAAACATCGCTGCTCACTTGATAGAATAGTTTCAATGCTTTCAGTTTTCTTGGCAACAGTTAGAAGAGTAGATTAATATCCATCTGTTTGTCAAATGTGGTGCTGGAGCCAATGGACACAGTTAGCTTAGCATTAAGACTGGAAGCAGGTGTAAACAGCTAACCCGGCCCTGTTACACTTGTTACAGGTTCAATGAGGGTCAAGGTTAGGGTTACAGCACGTAGCTGGACTGTTTTGGCTGTGCGGTAACTTCCTAGAGTTGCCCCGCAAAGTTACGTTCCCGCACAACTAAACTGTCCAGTGTGTAAACTGGGAACAGGCCTCCACACTGAAAAACAGCCACGCCAGCCTCAAAAATGAAGAGACATCATGTAAATCGCATGAAACATGAAATGTCGGATTACTGGTTCAACATTACCCAGGGATCCAGGGTAGATGCACACAACGGATTGTCAAAGCTGTAGGTGCCTTCCAAACATTATTACTTAGGGCTGTAGGGTCGGTCTTGCAGCCTGTTTTGTCCCTCTTGTGGTCAAACACCTGGAGTGCATACATGTGATTTAAAGTACATTTCATTACCTGCTTTTGCTCTTAATTGATGTTAGGTTTTTCAATTAAAAAAAGAATAGAAAAATAACTGCAGAGCAAGTCATCTTCACAGAGAACCGAACACCCGTTGACAACATCCACTTTGTTACATCGGTTTACATCCTGCCCCGAGGTTAATACTTTGAACTGTGCTGATGAGACAGAAAGCAACAACAACAACAACACAACTTCAGCAGCAACAAAGTGAGTCTATGATTTGCTTGTAAAAAGAAAACGAGATCATAATGTTGAAAACTACCTGCCTCGTGAGATATTCACACTTATCTGTGTCTCTGAGCATTAAGTGGGTCGTGTCTCTGTTTGCACAATTTACCCTTTGCAGCCATAAAAGATTACAGAGTAATCTGTACCGGCCTGTTTAGCTGAACTATCTGAACAGCAGAGAGTACAACTCAGTATAAGACTCTGAGATTAGACACCATTTTAACATATGGATGATAAAGAGACAGAATTGATTTTAAATATAGAAATATCAATGCCACTACTGCTCCTATCATCGCTGTAGTACTTTATTCATATACGTTTAAAAAATAGCTTTATAGCCATACATCTTTATTGGGAAAAACAAGGACAAGAGCAGTAAAACCTAAAAACTAATAATAATAACAGAGGCTCGCCAAGGTAGGCAGTTACAGCAGTGAGCACCATAAACACAGCATCATATAATAATAAAAGCCAGGAGAAGACCGGAGCGACGGGTGTTCATGATATTCTGTCCACCCCTGAACACCTGCATGTCAGAGTCAAACAGGTCGACAGAATTCATTTTGAGCAGAGATAGTGATGACATGCAAATGTCATAGTCCCTGCTTACATGCTTTATAAACACTGTAAATAAAAACACTAATCAGGTTCTGCACTGTTTGGCAACCAAGGTGAGTTATTGGAGTTGGTTATTGTGTTGGTAACACAATGGTTATTGTTACTGTTTGTATTCTCTCCCTGTAAAGAGAAATACAAGTGAAGTCATTTCCAACATCGAGAACTCATGAAACTCTCCGGTTTGGCCCAATCTCACGTATCCAGTTCAAAGCGAATCATCGGCATCATCTGACTGTATGCCTCATTATGTCTGAAACAAGGAGTCAATATGCGGGTGAAGAGCAGCAGTGTCCTTCAGAGGGTCTAATTAGTTTCATTGGTGCGTCTCTGCCCACCGTCTCTAATGACACCATCACCAGCTCAGACTGAAAGCTCACCAGCTGATATGTGCTTCAACAGAATGACGCAACACACATTTAGACAAGACGCACTCCAAATTCATAACTAACAGAGCACACAAGTGAGAGGGCTTTCAATTCTCCCATCTATCTCTCTGCAAGAAAGCGCCTTTCCCAAAATGTCACACACTTTTTTTTCCATTTTTTTGTCTAGATCCAAATCGACACCATAAATAAATGGCTGATTCTTTACTCTAAAACTCAAAGTTCTTGGGAGGGATGGCAGCCACACAGGGGACTGTCGTGGTGACGACCTCATGGGAGAGCTCTGTGTTCTTTTGTTTTGTAAACAGCCGCGGCCCTCCTCATTAGCGGCTAATGATTGACTCTGATCAGCGGCAGCAGGTACCCACAGTACAAACAGAGTGGACACACAACGGCCCTGTGAGGGTTCAAAGCTCTACAGTACAAATCCTTTTACTCTGATCGGCTACGTTCGACCCTCTAGGAATTGAGAGAAAGAAAAGGGAAAGAAAAAAAATGTAATAGAGTCAAAATGTATGAACACTTTCTATGACACCCACGTCTATGATGCATTCTAAATATACTTATAACACATTATAATCTGTTTATAACTCATTTAGATATAAGCAGTAGTAACTATTCATAATGTCTTATAACAATATAACAATATAAACATGTTATATTGACCTATAGGTATCAAGTATCACAATACTTCATAATGACTGAATGATATTTCATTTGCAAGGATCAAAGTGTTTTATAATTCCCATAATAAATAATCCTTTGATGATGCATTATAATGGGATTATAAGGTGTTCATTGTTTACTTTTTGTATGATGTTTTTGAAGGAAATAATGAGTGACTTGTAATTACATCACGATGCATTATAAACAGATTATAATCTATCTAGCTACGGGAATTATAATACACTATGATACTTGCAAAAGAAAGTGTCTGCCAGCAATTATGAAGTATTGTGATACTTGACCTTATAAGATGAAGTATGAAATGCTTTATAATGTGTTATGATCATTGTTGTAAAGCATTATGTATACTTATGTGTGCTTATGACTATGTTCTCTCTATGAGTATGTTCTCAATACATTATAGACACGGGTGTCATAGAAGGCGTTCCCTTCTTTGAAGCTACCTCTTTGACCCTGAGGAGAGAGCATGGCTCCCTGATAATGGCTGTGCATGTTGCCATAAGAACAGCAGGGCCTTGATATACTAATCTCACACGCAGACACAAATAGTGAGGGGAGCAGATTTGTTTTTCATAGAAGTGAGCACAACACCCGCTGCAGAAAAACAAACGGCAGCACACGACGAGTGACTTTTGTGACCTTTAGTGCCTCTTACTATCTAGGAGACCTGCACACAATACTCCGCAGGTGGCTTATCTTATCTCTAGTCCTTTACAGCTGATGATCAGGAAACTATTACTTTTGACTCTCCAGAGAAATATTAATCAATTTCCAAGGATTCATGGAAACTAGAATGGCCATACCTGACAAACATAAAAGGTTAAGTTAAGTGTAAACATTGAATCATCTCGCTGGGGTTCCTGCCAGACACAAACAAATGGTGCTTGGTACTATTCCAGGGTCAACACCTGCAGAGTTCATTTTTACTTTTCGATAAATTTGAAGAGCTGCCCCAGATTTATAGGAGGGTCTAATATAATAATATGAATAAGTATGTTCTCTTTTTGTCTGGAATCACCCAAAAATAAGAATCATTGTGTTTTCGTTACCTTAGAATGAGCTTCTTATATCTACATACTTCTTCACGGAGTGCGCCATGTTCCTACACTAGTCCAGAATGGCCAAACCACACACTGGTTCTAAATAGGACCATTTGCGTTTTTTGCGTCGACCGCCGTAGTTCTCCTACATGCTTGGCACACGGGAGAAGTTTCAATAGGTTGCAATCTGCAACCTTCACCGCTAGATCTCTGCTTGAGGCTACAAGCACGAGACTTCTAGCATCACATACCCGAAACCCCGACCAAACTGTCGGCAGCCGTGTTACATTGTGGGCGCGTGTTTTTCCACACATTCTTTTTCCTTTAAAAGATCAAAAAAGATAATATCTTTGGTTTTCCTCCGCTGTTTTTGATACTTAAAAAACAAAATGAAGTCCATTGAGAGTCCAAATAGAATCTTACAGACAGGTGAGAGGTCCACTGTATATATCACCCTTTTTGTAGCAGAGGTGCGGTACATTCATCCATTGTTTGGGAGACTCTGCTGCTAATATTTCCCTCTGAAATGTAGGGTGAAGTGTGTCTTACAATATTCTGGTTGTGAATATGTTTTTAGACAGTTTGCACACAGACATGAGGATTGTGAGTGGGTTCAGAGGGTTGACACTGGGATATGGAGGCACATGTTTGAACAGTTTTGCCAAGCTGGGCCAACACAACGCAACACTGTCTGCTCTTTTAGAATGAATCAGATGATCTCAATTTAAATATTCAACTCGGTTATGACCGATATTCAGATACAGACATTAACGCACAGCGTGCTTTTCTTTTCTTTGTCCAGTTGGTGAAGACGGCTGACCTGGATCCCAGGCACAACTACATCCTGGGCTTCCATCCCCATGGCGTGCTGGTAGCAGGAGCCTTCACCAACTTCTGCACCAATGCTACAGGCTTCAGGCAGCTGTTTCCCGGCCTCACCTGCTACCTGCTCATGTTGCCCCTTTGGTTCAGAACCCCGTTCTTCAGAGACTACATCATGTGTGCAGGTGCAAGACCTTTCAATCATACTCGATCAGATTGACCATACAACTATACCTCTTAAATTCAACTGAGTATATAGGATATAGTAAAGGTTTTTAATATATTCTATTTCGTACAAAGTATTATTTAACTTGTTTTGACTTCTTCTTATTTTCTGTTACAACACTGCAGGTCTGATTAGTTCGGAAAAAAAGAGCGCCAGATACCCGCTCAGCAAAAGAGGCGGTGGTAACGCTGTGGTGATAGCAGTCGGTGGGGCCCCAGAGTCCCTCGATGCCCACCCTGGGACCTACAATGTACTATTGGCTAAGAAGAAAGGCTTCATCAAAATGGCGATGGAGCACGGGTGAGAGCAGAGAGCCGTGGGGGGAATGAGGAAGGTCTTTTGCTAAATATAAGCTAATTCTCCAAGGTCTCATCGCTTGCGAGAGGAGGTTACTTGCAGCTCGAGCGTGGCATCTTGAAACAGAGGCTTATTCAAGCCCCTCATGTGGAATTTCCCTGAAAAGTACGCAGTCCGTTATCAGTTTATAACGAGGAACATCAGTAAAACATTTCAAACACGGGACACTGTTAGTTAATCAATAAAACAACCTTTTCATTGAAATATTTTTTTCTTTCTTTTTTTTGCAGTGCTCATCTGGTGCCAGTCTTCTCCTTTGGAGAAAACGAAGTGTTTGATCAAGTTGGAAACCAAAGAGGAACCTGGCTTCGGTGGACACAGGAGCGGCTGCAAAGATTAATGGGTATCGCCCTGCCTCTCTTCCATGCACGTGGCATTTTCCAGTACTCCTTTGGTCTCATGCCCTACAGAAAACCCATCAGTACAGTAGGTGAGTGGGCTCATCTATCCGGGTGCAACCTCACCTGCAATATTTCAAATGCATTGCATTAGACTTTGTCTGGCAAGGGAAAGCCTGAGTTATATTGATATACACTTGTATATTTTCCAAGCTGCAGTTGATTTTGGCAGAAGCATCTAATGTCACCAAGTTGGCTAATAGTTTTTTTAAGTCAGATTGAACTTTAGATAAACGGCATCCAACGTTTTGCAAACTGTGAAGTACACTGACTGTGTGTGTGTGTGCGTGTGTGTGTGTGTTGTACTTCACCTTGTCCCCTCCCTGCAGTCGGGCGTCCAATTAGGGTGGAGAGAAATCAGAAGCCAATGGCCGAGGAACTCGATGCCCTTCACCAGCTGTACATGGACGAGCTCAGCAATCTGTTTGAGGAGCACAAAGGCAACTACGGAGTGGACAAAGACGCACACCTGAGCTTTGTCTAAACGGATTGGATTCGAATGCATATTTATTTTAGCTCGGAGAATTGATTGGCTCTCCAAACTGGCCGGTTAATTAAAGAGAAATAAACTGCTGACACGATGCCGTATCGGTGGGAGCATTCAACAACCATATGAGAGAAAAGCAACCAGAATCGACACGCTTATGTATCCATAACTGAGACCTCGCTGTTCATCCAGACTGCTGTCGTTTGCCAGGGCAGTGTGGGAAACGGTTCAGAGGGACTGATGACACACGTTTCCTCACCATCTCCCAGTGGTGGCATCAGTCTGGGGTTTGAGCCTTTGTGCAAGACCTGACACTGTCTCAAACAGTCAGAGGTTGCATTTGGGTTGCAACATCATATGGAGACATTGTCACACCAATGAAAACACCAATGATTTCAGGCTTTGGTATCTGCAACAAACAGATAAAAAAAAATAAAAAATGTATACAGCACTCAACTGAATTTTCTCTTTTGTGTCAAAAATATGCCCTTGAAACATTTAAGGAATAGTTCCACATTTCAGTGTTGGAAAGTATCTAAGTACCTTCACACAAATACTGTGCTTAAGTACAATTAGACTTTCTTGTACTTAACTTGAGTATTTCCATATTCTGCTACTTTGAAGTTTCAGGTTGTGACCCCTTACATTACATAACAGTTCCTTGTCACATTTCTCATGTCTATGAGTCGTTAGTTCCATCCCCTCTGAACGTCTCTCCTGGTTTCATTTCCATAACTGTTTCAGGCCACAAGCGGTCAAATTATCCAGAATTCCATAAAACACCCCACAAAGATTAAAGAGAAGCCCAAAAATGAATAAAAATATATGTTGCAGAAGTTATTTTTTTCTTAGTTCCTCTCCCATTAATCATCTCTCGACCCCTCAGATTTATCATGTGACTCTTTGGAGGGGGCGTGACCCCTAGGTTGGGAACCACCAAACTAGTTGTTAAAACTAGTTGCTGGAGTAAAATGCTGCTTGAAAAAGTTGCCCAATCATATCTTTAGTTGACACATGAACTTAGTGGCTGTTAGCTTAGCTTAGCACTGAAATCAGCTAGCCTGGCAGAGATTCTGGAAATTCAAGTCAAGAAATAGTCTGGCACATAACCCACCGTAAAACCACATTGTATTGTTGTTTTTACACTTCAGTGTTCATACGGATTAAACAAACAATAGGTAACTTCATTTTTGACCTTTAGAGCTACTGGTAGGTAGATTTCTGTTTGGACAGAACCAGGCTATTTCCCAGTTTTTAAGGTAAGCTAAGCTAACCATCTTCTGCCTCTGGCTTCATATGTAACCTACAGATAAGTCCGTATGGAAAATATGAAGCAATGTTCAGCAGCCGGTTAGCTTAGCACAAAGGCTGTAGGCTTAAAGGGGAAAAAAGCTAGCCCGGATCTGTCCAAAGGTAACAAAATTCGCCTACCAGCACTTCCAAAGCTATACCCTTCCCAGTCTTTGTGCTAAGCTAAGCTAACTGGATGCTGGCAGTCGCTTCAAATTTACCATACAGATATGAGAGAGGTATTGACCTTCGGTTTCAACTCTCTGCAAGAAAAGAAGTAAGAACATTTTCCAAAATATTGAACTACTCTTTTAATATCTGCCTTTCAGCTTTATGAAGACTGCAATAGTGAGATTTCAAGACTTTTCAATGCAGAACAACATGGAAAAAGACTTATTATATGATATTATATAATTGATGTTGATTTATTGAACTCAATGACTTCTATCAAACATAGAAATGCATGTGAAATGTGTCTGCTGGGCATGAAATAAAGTGGTGTCTTCAATCATGCTCAATGCACATGAATGCGTGTCTCATTTACTGTTTTATTAGTTCTAAATTCCACATTAAAGGTTGAGTGCCTGCTTTTTAGATCAGGTTCCCAAATGATAAGATCGTCTGTGAACTTTGGCAGACACCTTTTAGATGAGATGGCAGTATTCTGAAATTTCCAAATGAAATGACTGGCAGCTTGGACAATGCCCCGATCCTTTCAACATACAGTCTGCACGAGGTTTGAGTGTGTGTGTGTGTGTGTGTGTGTGGGCTTGTTGGGCTGATTAAAATGCTGACTAAAAGAAAATGACTTACTGCAGAACTGTGATGCAAAGACAGAAAGATTTGGGGAAATATTATATTTAAGAATTTAAAAAGCAGTCACTAGAAAAGCGCTGATATGTATGTCGTGTGTCAAGGACAATACTGGAACACAATGGCCAACCTGTAAATCATATCTTAACGTCAACATCCGGCAGAGCTGCAATCTTAACATTGATATAAATCAATGCACCAGGCTTTATGTTTTAGAGACATTGGTCATTGATGTATCTGTCACATTGGGATCTGCTGTTTGGACAAATATGCTCAGCAGTCGATAATTGTTTGGTCTGTGATTCCTCTCAGGTGGAGTGTGACTGGTTTGTCAGGGTAACAACATTATTGACGTATTTTTCAAGACAGTGGTCAATGTACAAAAGAATCAACGCGCTGCGTTCACTGAGTCCTTTGGGCTCATATCTTATCTTGTCTTTTTCTGAAAGGAAAACATACCCCCAAGTCAGAAAACAGAAAACAAGCTTTCATGGTAATAAAATCATATCTGTAGATGATTTGGTATCTGCTCTTCAGATACAGTATGCTGTACGCATATGGAACACGACAATAACATGTGTAAACAGGTTGGATTAATTGAGGTGTTGCACAACACAAACAATTCATTTAAGAACTGCCTCGACTAAACTAAACTAAAACCAGACTTGAACTCATCACGACAAACTTTGCCAAAATAACCGATTGAGCACGAATTAACAGGAAGAAGGCATTTATTAGAGGTGAGTTGCTGAGACTGCGATGTAGAGTTGCATCACCGATGGCCCAGAATGGTTAGGTGGTGACATTTCTCAACAGCAGCCTGGTGTCAAGGACTGCGTGGCTGATTTCAGCCAAAACCAGTTAGGATTATTGGGCTCGGTCCAACCAGATATGTGCTATCAGTTTTTTGGGATGAACTTCATTCGATACAAAGTGCAAAGATTCGTTTTTTCCAGTAGAGTATAGCATTGAATTTGATAAAGTGATAGGGGGCGAGGACACGGTATGGGGAATGTATCGGGGGGGGGGGGTTGGGTTGGTTGTGGCCTCCTGTTTGAGTCAAAGTGTTTCTGCAGATTTAAACTTGACTTGACAGCTGATGTGGTACGCACCGCTTACAGCTGGGACTTGACTTAAGACTTGAGGCATATTGGTTATGATGGTGATGGTCATTACCAGTGGAAGAAAGCAACTAACTTCAAGTGCTGCAGTACAGTTTCGAGGTACTACTTTTTCATATTCTACTTCATTACATTTCCGGGGGAAACGGTACACCTTTTAATCCACCATATATATATTTGACAGATGTAGTCGGTTACTTTTCAGATGAATTGTTGAACTTTAAACCAGCCAGCGTTTTTAGTCACATTTAAGTCAATGAGTTGTTTTACCTAAGAGAACTTCTCAGATGGTTTCATTTAAATAATGAACCAATATTCAACAAACCACTTTTGATCCTGAAATTATATTTTGCTGATAATACTTCTGTACTTCCACTCATAGGATTTTAAATGCAGGAATTTATTGTAGTTGAGTATTTTTACACAGTGGTATTGGTACGTATAAGTAAAAGATATGAGTTCTTCTTCCACCGCTGACCAAGTCTCTTGAAGACATCTCCAGCCAGCAGCCGTACATCAGTTGTCTGTCCACCTTGGCGTTCTGGTTTTGGTGAGTTTCAGTGTGGTGCCAGCTGGCAGTCTCTGTCAGATCCCAACACTTAGAAGAGAGTCAACTGTTGCATTGGCACATGCACATGTGCAACAAGGCCCACCATCCCATCCACATGCAGCTGCAGCTTGTGTTATCTGGGCTGCCATCTTTTGCACTGCCATCTTTTCAGAGTTCAGACATCAAAAGATATCATAAATTGAACCGTAAATGAATATTTCCCTTTAGAGATTGAAGGGAAAGCTCTAACAGTGTCACACATGTTGTGATTCATACAGTAGACAAACCGTGTGACACAAAGGACAAAGAAACGTGTCCATCCAAAACAACCATGTCCCCACGGGTAGATAATAAGATGGTTTTCTCACAGCATATCAAAGTATCGCATAGAGGGACACACACAGTATTCTTATTGTTCAATACATCAAATCAGGAATAAAAAGCTGACTAGCCAGAGCACGTTCAGAAGAACATTATCACACAGCAGGACTGTAACAGTGGCAGTTATGAAACACACTTCTATCTGTCTCATCCAACCCCCCAAAGACCCAGACTTGAGACACCGAGGGGAGGCAAGACAGGGGATCAATGGTCAATACATGCTGGGTGTTTTTCACAGCTCACCCACGTGACTGCCCCAATAAATACAGAAACAGACAGCGAGAGAGAGAGAGAGAGATCCTACGTGTTGCTGCTATCACGTCCAGACTCCCCGTGCAACATTATTGATACACTTTTCTCTCTCGCGCACGTCTCCGTTCGCTCCTCCCCGCGCTGATTAAATGCCGGCTCGGCGCGTCTGCGTGCCGCAGTTGAAGGCAGCCGTGTCAGGGGAGCCGTAGGGTCAGACTTGTGACATCCAAACAGCGAGAAAACATCTTGAGGTTTTTTGTTTTTTTACCTCTCTGTCTCTCTCTCCATCTAAGAAGGATCAGATATGAAGACCATTCTGGCTGCGTACTCTGGCGTCCTCAAAGGTAAGCCGGTGTTCTGGCTGTGAGGGGCACAAGGCGGGCTACGGCGAGAAACAGCGCAGTGGAGGTGGACAAACTAATCGGGAGTCTTTGGGAAGAATCAGGGCGACGTGGAACACACACACACACACACACACACACACACACACACACACACACACATGCCAGTTTGAACCTGTCATGTTTTATTCTGCGTGAAGATACACACACATACAAACACAACTATAATTTTAAAATACCTTATTATTATGACCTATTTTTTTAAAAATGATTTTCACTTTTAAAAAAATGTCATAATAATAATGAAGGTATTTTCAAATTGAAAAAGTATCATTTTTTAAAAGTTTTTGAAAAATAAAAATAGTGATACATTATCAAAAGCAACTCATTTTACATGTGCTACAAAGACACTGCATGTACCCGGTGATACTAAAGGAGAGTAAAAAAGACCTATAGATTTACCACTGAATGTCATCATCACAGTGTTTGTGTCTCTCAATGCCACTGCTTTCTAACAAACAACAAGCTTTATTGCAACCCATTTTTCTGCAGCTGAAATATTTAGAATTTTAGTCTTAATGAAGTTTTAAATGTGAATGTACAAGTTCGATCCCCGGCTCAGGCTCCACTAGTTGCATGTTGATGTGTCCTTGAGCAAGACACTTAACCCCAAAATTGCTCCCGTAGCTGTGGCTACGGTGTAGAATTGTGATAGAATCTGAATTGTTACGTCGCTTTGGATAAAAGCGTCTGATAAATGACTGTAATGTAATGTAATGTAACTGAAATGGCTTTAGGAATGGATGTCTTCACGGCCATTATGGGAATGTTGACACAATTACAGCGACCAAAATCAACGTCCAACATTTTTTTTGCGTCTCTTTGTAGTTGTTTCATGTTAGTTTGTAGTCTTTTTGCGTCTCTTTGCAGTCGTATGCGTCTTTATGGTTATTTGATCTCTTTCTTTTGGGTGTTTTGTGTGCCTTTGTGTTTTTTTTGTCCATTTTTGTAGTTATTTTGTGTCTTTGCAGTTGTTTTGTGTCTCTTTATGGTCATTTTGAGTCTCTCAGTCTCTCAGTATGTGTCTCTTTGAGTGACATTTTCCAAGCAAAGTTCAGGGAGGGCCCCCTAACACTTTGGGCCCCTGGGCCTGTGCCTGGCTTGTTCAGTAATCCATCCATGAGCACATGGTCCACCTTGCTTTATCTGATAGTGTGTGTGTACCTCTCTGCATGCTGACCAGTTTGATCTGGCTCCCAGCCGGACTCGGAGAGCACATAGCCTACTGTAAGTGGGTCCATTCAGCTGTGAACCGGTCACCGGCTGCATCTCGACCGAGGTTCAGTCCCTCTCCTGGCACTGGTTCAAGCAGCGACAGCCTATAAGCCGTCATAGCATCATAGTTTAAAGTCATTACCAGCAGCAGCAGCCCGGTCCTGGGTTATTTTCAGTGTGCATAGATGGGATTAGAGTAGACGGCCGTGTTGTCCTGGAGGGGAGATCTTCATCTAATTGGCTCTCAGCGGTTCGAGCTTGACTTGCTCGGGAGGCTCTTAATGTGTCCGTCACTTCATGCTCGCGGTCTCTCCTCACACGCAGCTGATGGCTTTGCCTTCACGGGCTGGTGACTGAAAAGAGCTGGTGAGTAGTTGAGGCTGCGGCTAAAAAGTTTGGAAATGTAGGGCTGCTCAGTTGTTTTGTTTAATGTCCACCTTTGGGTTTGTTAAACTCAAACTAGGAGTAAAAAAGTGATACTTTACTTGTCAACGCTTCTCTCCCTCATCCATTTAAGCGTCCGTAACCGTGCCTTCAATAATCCACCCGCATGGACATTTGACAGTTTTGATAAAACTCTCCTTTTTATCATTTGTCATCTTTTGCCTCCAGGCACCGGCTGCAGCATCCTCTCTGCCCTGCAGGACCTGTCCGTGGCTTTTTGGCCCTGCAGATCCAAGATGGAAAAACACCTGCAGGTCATCTCCGTGCTGCAATGGGTCATCAGCTTCTTGGCCATGGGTAAGTGAGTGCGTTTGTGGGCGCCGCCGGGCCTTTTTCGCCTAAAGAAAGCTTGAAGATTTAGCTTGTACTCTCATTAGTCTCACGAGGAGGAGGTCGGATCTCTGACCTGCACGCATATACTGCTCTCTTAGCTCTTGGCAGAATATTTTAGCCTTTAGTTTAGCCTAAGATTACTGTTTATTTCTGGTCAAGTGCTTGATTGTACCGTCTCTCTTCTCTCCCTCCAGGTGCTGCCTGCACTGTGCTACTGATCTACATGTTCTGCACTGACTGCTGGCTTATTTCTGCCATTTACACCGCCTGGCTCATCGTTGACTGGAACACCCCGAAACAAGGCAAGACATTAAAATCTCGAAACATCACTGTTGCATAATAGTCCAATTTTGACCCCCATGTTTAGGGATGGTAAACATGTGCCTGCCAAACATTATTATGTTAGCATGCAGATGTAAGCATCTAGCTCAAAGCACAGCACGATGCCAAAGTACAGCTTGGCATAGTTTCGTTAGCGTTCAGCGTTTCGTTGATAGTAAAAGAAAACTATTTTTGTCGTCCGATAAAACAGGTTACTTTGGACTCTACTATTTTTCTGACATCTTGTAGACTAAATGATTCACTAATTAAAAAAATGTAATGTAATTGTTATTGGAAGAACATTACCTCCCCTACCATTTTAATGGAATAGTCAAAAAGAATATTAACGGATGAATTGTTGGTTGCGGCTGTATATGTGTAATAATCTGTAATGTCCTCCTCAGGTGGCAGGAGGTCCTCTTGGGTGAGAAACTGGACAGTGTGGACATATTTCCGAGACTACTTCCCAATCAGGGTGGGTACATTTGTCAGAGTCTTGGTGTGCCGTCGCTAAATTGACCTAACCCCAACCTTGAAAATTCAAGAGAACAGTGGAGCTATGGAAACGTCGGGATTGCAACCAGTAGGGAGATGAACCATGAAAGCGTGCTCGGCCTCGCCTGTTTTGTGCCGCCACACAAAACGTTCTTAAGACTTGTGTGCTTCAGTATTGTAAGACTTAGTTGGTTCATCGATCTGCAGTCATGTACAGGTTTGACATTGTAGATAAGCTTATCAGGGGTTGGATGGGGTATCAGCTGTCGGCTCCATGCTGTTCCTTGTCCCGTGGTGATTGTGATGAGTGCTTGACGTCGGTCAGGAGTTTTAGACTTTGTCATACCTGATAGGCCAAGGAGCAGTGCTTAGCTTGTTTGGCCCTCAGGTAGCATCTTTTAGATGAGAGGGCAATGCTGATTATGGCAAACACACTGTACTGTAACTGTGCAGGACTAAACTGTCACTGAAGAAGCCAGAAGTCATGGGTTGAGTTTGTCATGGGTGGAGTTTGTTCAGCTAGTTATCATGGGATTCTTTTATTGAATCGTCACTCTCGTACAGCTGAGAGCTGCAACAGTTGGTTGCTTAATTGATTAGTGGACTTCCACACAAAATCGGCAACTATTTTGATCATCGTTCTTAAACCAAACCTTATATTGTTCCTGCTCCTCCAGTAAGATTAATTGTTTATTTTTTTGTCGGTTTACATTTGATGATGTCTCCTAGGATAATGTGATGGACATTATTCAGTATTTTGTGGCATTTTATACGCGACATGATTGAAACAAAAAACAAAGATGATCAGTGTAGAAAAAGATCCTGCATTGATGCATTGATGTTTCTACACTCTGTACAGCAGAAAAACAGGGCGGGAGGAATTTGAAGTCCCACTCTTTGTAGATGAACTTTGCTCATCTCATCGATCTTTACAGTGTGTTCCATGCAGCCATTTGTCTCAGTGGCTTGATGAGATCATCGTCTTGTCACCCGCCCGATGCCAGCTGACTCTTCACACGTCTCTCGTTTTAATCCCAATATCGCTGCAAGACATAAATTGATCGTTGTTTCTTTTCTTTTCTTTTTTATTTATTTCTTTTTTGGTGTTGTGCGAAGTTTTATGTTTCTGTCAAATGTCGGTTATTAACTACCGACATGAGATGAGAGTGTGGTTGATCGTTTATTTCTCGCAGCAGAGTTGAAAAGGTCTCGTAGCTCAAAATAACCAGAATATATCTGCAGGGCCATCAATTGACTGTAGGGCAAGGGCTATTATTTATACGAGTTGGAAGCCAACTGGTCAAGGTCCAAACCAGCCTTAAAATCAAAGTGAGGACTGTAATACCTGCTGAGTGTTACATCAACGTCTGCCTCAGCACTACAAACAAAGACTCTTCTGTGATACTAGTGCTTCTATGCAGTAACCAGTGAATCTACAGCCTCTAGCTCTTTACTGTCTCCTCTCCTTATATAAGGTGTTGTTTAATAAAATCCTTTTTTAAATATTTGCTCAAACTGTCACTATGACAGTAGTACATGAGACATATAATCAGTGAATAAAGCAGGTTCCTCTGCCTCTTTTTAGTGATCCTAGTGACTTTCCATTGACTATTTCTCACCTCAAATAGGCACCTGGTCGGTGGGCGGTGCTTGGATACGGCTCGACTGTTATCAATGTACGACTATATCTCTATCGATATAGAGACAGAGCTTTTATTTGACTTTGCGCAAATATGACTTTTAAATGCTGGTCACATCTCCCGTGGTCCTACTGTAATCTTTCTACATCTGCCATGCCAGCCAGGTGGAGTCCTGCGGTACTATGGAGATCTTCGATGTGATCTCCTTTTGCTAATGTGGTTATGCAACGGTTGTGTTTGACCAGCGACAAAGGGAGCTTTGTGTACACACGGTGATGGAATCAAGTCTATAGTGCAGATCAGAGCACAGTTATAGTTTCTTATGATATTGTGCAATTTTACAAGTTCAAGATGAAACCAAGACGTTCAAATAATACTGTGTTTAAAGTGTATTGCTGCCAATATGATCTACATGAGCAACATGTGAAGTGGGACATTATTTTATGAGTGCACTTGAGCAGACAGAGGAGGGTATGTCGGTTTCGAGCTGATAAGGATGTCCTCGTTCTGCTAAAAACATGAGCTGTATCCTGAATTCATCCCACACACTTCTTCTAAGCTGACCTTCAGTGTGTAGCTTGTTCCTTCTGGAAAAGTCTGATAGTTATACTCTTCATACTCAAAATACATAGCCACATACAATGCGTACGGAACACGGTGCTCGATCTCTGACATTGTGGATAAAGTTTAAGTCTATTGTTTTAGTTATTTTATTTTTAAAAACAGTATGCATTCTGAAAAAAACAAACGACACAGCACAAAGCGCGTGGCAGAGTGACAAACTGACAAACTGACAGTGGATGGTGATGAATTAGGTCTTGACTCAAACCCAGAAAACCGTTTCATTTCTGGAAATCATTTTCATTTCTTTTCCACCGTCACTGTCAATTTAAACCTCACAGTTTAAATCAGCTTTGTCCTCTCACATGTCAGAGAATGATCAATCAGACCATCGACAACATTGATTGGCAGCTATGATGATAATCTATTTATCGTAAAATAAATAACAGGTTCCAGCTTCCCAGATGTGAAGGTTTAAAACATTGTAAATTGAATATTTTACATTCATAAATAAATTATGTTGATGTATTGTGTGTATGTGTATATGTATATGTATATATATATATATATATATATATATATATGTGTGTGTGTGTGTGTGTGTGTGTGTGTGTGTATATACTACTAACTGCAAAAAGTCATAAAGATTAGAATGATTATTTGTATGATACATCTCCACAATAATGTTACAAAGAGTGTTACACAATCAAATAAATTATAGGAATAAACTGAACCAGACCGGATCCAGTAAATGACAAAACTTGAGATTAGACTGTATTTTATGAAGTGTAAAATACGTATTTAGTGTGGAACTGGTACACCGCTTATGTTCTCAAGCCCTTAAGCCATACTGGTCGATAACATGACATTTCTCCAATCAGATGTTCTGCAGTGTGGAAATCAGCCTCACACTGGTCCGCTTTGTGCTATTGTCCTGCAGCTAATTAAAACCCACAAGCTGCTGCCCAGCCGGAACTACATCTTTGGCTACCACCCGCACGGCATCCTCTGTTTCGGTGCTTTCTGCAACTTCGGGACCGAGGCTACGGGCTTCACCAAGAAATTCCCGGGAATCAAGCCCTCCCTGGCAACCCTGGCGGGAAACTTCCGCTTGCCCGTCCTTCGAGACTACCTGATGTCTGGAGGTGAGACAATGAGGAGCAACGAAGGCTCGTCTGAGTCCTTGAAAAAACAGATAGCTGTATCTGTAAGAGAGCGGACCTTTGTCCTGTTGCACAGCTGAAATAGCTTCTGTTTGCCTGAATGTGCTGATTTCACTGTTTGATAGAGCTGTAACTGTTATGGTCTGAAGGGCTGTTTGCTGTTCAGCTTTACCCACAGATACTGTACCTACTCCCTTAGGGTACTATAGGTCGCTGTACATGTTGTTTTGAAAGCTTCATCGGTAAATTGCTCTGTTGAACTTTCTTTGCGATAATGTGTAATGCAACAATCTTTGCAAATGTTCTGTTGTTTTGAGACTGTTTTTTTGTTATTTTCAGCTGCCGTAGATCAGATTTTGCTTTTTTTAATTTTACGTACGTACTAGACTTGTGGGGTTTGCCTCATAGAGCATTGCATTAAGTACAATAAAGCGGAGTCTAAAAAGACTTAGAATTACAATATTTGCAGCCAGTATTTCACCCGATCTAATAGGATTAAGAAGATGTTAGCAGACTTAATAGGTCAGTGTATTTTCCTGTTGTGCACTGCTTCTTTACTGCAGTTTCATTCATCTTTCCATATCTTTTTTTGTTTTTTTGTTCCTCAGGTATCTGTCCAGTGAACAAGAACTCCATCGACTATCTGCTGTCGTGCAACGGGACGGGAAATGCTGTGGTCATCGTTATCGGAGGAGCGTCGGAGTCTCTGCAGTGCGCGCCGGGCATGAACATCGTCACCCTGAAGAACCGTAAAGGCTTTGTGAGGCTGGCCCTGCAGAAAGGGTGAGCTGGCTGCACAACGCCTCGCAGACTAAACACAGCCTCGACCGATCTGATTTGAATTTGAAAAGATGTCATTCTCAGGGCTGCGGTGACTCATTGGAATGAATAACCAATTATTACTCACAAGAAGGTCAAATTTACCTCACAGAGAGCATCGCCGAATCTTTTATGAATGTGCGGTTTTGTCCCCCATAAAGCTCGGAGCTGCTTGTGCTCAGCCATGCTTTAATCACTATAACCATTAAGTGGGCCGGGTTTGTGTCTCCTTAACCCAAACAAGCCTGATTATATAGCTGTTGGTTATCACAGCATTTTAAAAGGAGCTTAGAGCTTGCTATAAGAGACAAGTTATTTAAGTTATGCAGAATTTCATTCATAACTGAAAATAAGCCTGGGCTGTGAACTGAGGTCACTTTGGGTTCACTTTCTGGAGCTTTTATGGTTTGATGTTGATGCTTATAAGATAAAGATTATGTTAAAACCGGTTGAATAACAACACTTAAGTTGATTTCTGCAGAAAATAGAGTAAAAAGTGCAATTTTAAGGTTTGCAATCACAAATTTATTTGTATTTATGTCCAACGTAGATATGAGGACAGTATACAGAATATTCTGGTTGCTATAAATCTATTTTCTGAACCACACAATTATGTTTATTTTTTGGGACATTTTATTTCTTATCGCCTGTAAAATCTGGGATAGTTTCATCATTTCAGGCCATATTGTAAATAAACATTGTGAGAAGGTCAAAATCACAGCTTACAGAAGTCTGTAACCTTTTAATGAGGGTGTCGTGAGCTCTAATATAGTTTTAATACCAATCCAGAACATTTCCTGATTATATAAACTCTTTTATAACTGCCATACCGGGCAAGGCAACTGGAAACTACAGCAGTCTGCCTACGTGTTAATTATCATGACCTACTGATTAATAATAAGAACTATCATATTGCATATTTAAAACCACAACAAAAAAAACCTCCAGTTTGATTGTTTTTGTGCTAGAGACACGAATATAAAACAGTTATTCAGTTAAATAGGATGGCTATTACAGGTAAAGTGAGTCTTCGAGTGCCCTACTTGTTTTTAAATCCATTGGATTAACAGATATGATTGTAATATAATAATACAAATATTGGTGCATATGATTTCGGTATACAGTTAATCAAACAAGTTTGCAAAGTTTATGTTTCAGCCCGAGGACAGTTTTTATTTAACAGGCTTTCTGTGAGTTTTTTTCCTCATCAGAACCTTTTTTATTGTTTCACATTCGTTAGGTCTACACCCATCGAAATAAAATAGGAGTAGAATGGACATTTCCATTTAAATCAATATAGCAGGATGGTCAGAGTGGTGGCCATTTTTATGTGTACTTTTGCCGTTGTGACCATTGTAGCGAGCTAACATCCGCATAAACTAAACTGACTTTCGGAAACACAGAATTTAACAACTTGATGCTTCCTCCACACACAGGAAAGCACATTGCTTTCACTAGATGAGTGGCAACTCTGTACGGCTCATTTTCTGTAACCAGTGTAGCATTAAAGCATGGTGGAATTAACAAGCGAGCTAGCTTACTAGCTAGCAAACAGCTGGCTTGTTAGCTAGCTTGCTAATTCCGTTCTACTCCTATTCTATTTCTTCTTCCTATATATCTACCACTAGACACTTGTTGTATTTGACTTGTTTCCTTCATGTTGTTGCTGATTTTAGATGTTTAAATTCTAGAAACATCCTGCTTGGCATTGTCCTACTTTTGTAAGTGGACATTTAGGGGACAGTTTGTTGAGTAACCTCCTCTGTGTTTCCTCAGGTCTGACCTGGTTCCAGTGTATTCCTTTGGAGAGAACGATGCCTACAAGCAGGTGATCTTCGAGGAGGGGACCTACTGGCGGTCTCTCCAAAGGAGGTTGCAGAAGATCATAGGCTTTGCCCCATGCCTCTTCCATGGATGTGGCCTATTCTTCGGCAACTCCTGGGGCATTGTGCCTTATGGCAATCCTATCACCACCATAGGCAAGTTTGTTCAAGCTAATGTTTGGTTAGAGCGATTGACGAAGATACAGATTTGGGTTATCTGTGAAAATGTCAACAATACTCTGCTATTTTAGTACAGTAACCGTATTTGCTTCGTCCGACCAGCACGCTATATTAATGGTTGAACTTCAACCGAAGTTTGTTTGATCAGCTCTTTGTTTTAACCCTCTCTCCTATTCTTATTATAGTTGGAGAGCCAATCACAGTGCCAAAAATTGAGGATCCAACTGAGGAGATGGTGGGTCTGTACCACGCAATGTACATCAGGTCCCTGCAGTGCCTTTTTGACAAGTACAAGACCCGCTTCGGACTGAAAGAGAGCGACGTCCTGTACATCCAGTGAAAGGACAAGGGGGCTCTGTTGAAGCTTTGAACTTTTGACAGCATCTTCAGACCCCTCCACCCCCTTCCCCACCCCGGCCCGCATCCTATCTTGATGCCCGATTTTGGATTATCTCTGGACTGCAAGCTCTGCACATGAGCACTTTTGCTAAAGAAACATCTGCTCTCTGCATCGTTTCACACACATAGACACACACATGGCATAATTCATTCTCAGGAAATGGCAGGTTTGAAGAACAGGCACCTCTCCCTGCTGCTGCAATCGAGGAGAACCGTCTCAGTTTTTATACCAAATCCCACATCAACAATTATGCCATTGTGGTTTCCATGTCTCATTGAAGGCATTGGGTTTGGTTTGTGTTTATCGGTGCAGAGGGGGGAAAGTTCCACTAGCATGGTAACATGCAAAACTTTAGAGAAGTGCCAATGCTTTTGTCTTTCACTCATGCAGCCATGTAATTCTCCCCAAGCTCTTTAAATCCTATTACAGTATATGCTTAATGCACAAACGATGCAAATGGAAGATACCACTTCATTATTGGGACGATAAGCCCAAAGTTTAATTGAGCCAAAGATCTAGGTTGTCCCCACACAGGTGTGTATTTCTCCTGTATAAAAGCCAAAAGTGATGGAATTCTACAGGATGGATATACAGTACATATTATGAATGCATACGCATGTACATGTGTGCCTGTGATTTATAACGCCATAAAGTATTAATTGTATGCTGTAGAGAGGAACGAGACTGTTTTAGTACCCTCCTTCAGTAGATATTTCTGATGCACTTTTCGTATTGCTGATTACCTTCTGAGGTTTTTTATGCCTTTTTGATATGAGAAATTTTCCAAGACTGTCCTTGTGCTGCTTGTCTTGATTTCCCTTTCTGGTCCTAGTGGTGTCCAGGTCTGGACGGGTGTGTTTTGTCAATGCAACAAAAACCACACTGATGTCTTGTAACTTCTGTAAAATGAAGGTATTGAGCTGCAGTTGAAGAAGATCATGTTTTGTGGGTGAAAATCCTGAATGTTTGAGGATTCCGGTGTACGGTGAATGTGTTTTGTAACCGTACAATGGGTGATAATTGAAAAATCAAGGGATGATACCAGTCGTATTACTGGTACTATGTTATGTTTCGAGGCTGCCACCAGTACTTTTGTGAAATAAGAGTATGTGGGTATGGAACACATCCCGGGAATTATCGAAGTAAGTAAGTGTGTGCGATGTTGACGGCCATGAAGATGGGGCAGTTAATTATCAGATTGTCATTTGAAGAGCCATTTTCTCTGGTTTCACCACTGTGCCTTCTTATAGACAGCAGTGTAATCCATGTGCAAGAAATTTGCAAGAAATAAACGGCAAGAGAGATCTGTCAATATGATAAATGGCATCGTCCGTCTGCCAATATTTAAATTAAATTTTTGTATGTTTTCAGAAGTAGATGTGTGTTTTTGTGTCTTGTTTTTGGAAACATTTTCCCAAACACTATTTATTTATTTATTTCTAGTGCTGCATCATTTTTTCCAATTTACCTCAAGATTGTGACTTCTTTGAGGCCTCATGTTTGAGCACATTCGACATTGCTTACAGCCCCTCAACATACAGATGCCCTCGAGTTAGTTTCTAGTATATTTGTTTTTCTTACTGCATTGTAAAATGGCTGCCATTAAATTATTTTGGAAATAGACAAAATTGCAACAAACCATAAAGTTGCACAATTCTGTTTTAGATTTTAGTTTTAGGGAAATATTCACATTATACTCTCATGGAGTCACACATGCACAAAGAATATAAAAGACAATTTTTGGCATTTCTGGCATTTTGAGGTATCTTTAGTTGTAAATTATAGTGGTGTAAAAAGTGCTATATCCCTCAATATTGTGTTTTACAATATTTAAAATGTGGTGAAACAAAAGTATGTTCTCTAATAAGTTTATTTTGTACACCAACAAGCCATTTTCCAAACTATGCAGGTACTGTCTGAAGAACACAAGACAGAGAAAGCAATCAATATATTATTGTGAAGTCCAATGTCCCAGAGGAAACAGAACCCTGTGTCTGATGCTGCCCTCTGATGGTTGCTTAATATACTGCAGTCAGGATGAGCAAAGCTTCCACAAATCACACAGTACAGTAATAGGCGTTGGGATCATGCAGTGGTGGAAAGTAAAGTACATTTACTCAAGTACTGTATATAGGTACAATTTTGATGTACCTGAGTTTTTTTCACACTATACTAATTCAATACTTTTAATGCACTACATTTAGCTTACGTCGGTAGTTAGGTATTGCATTGCAGCTCCATATGTTACATACAAAACATATGATCAGTTTATAAATATGATACATTGTTACAGATTTCATAGTAATAATCCAATAATATTATAAAGCCTAACATACAGTATATATATAACACTATGACATTTGTCAGTTTACATTGAGAGAATTTCTTGATACTTAAAGTACATTTAGCTGATAGTACTGTTGTACTTTTGATTACGTATCAATTTAAATGCAGGACTTTTACCTGTTATGGAGTCATTTTACACTGGTATTGGGCTACTACTTTTACTCAGTGAAGAGCCTCAGTACTTCCTCTATCTTCCTCTAATGAGTACTTGGAAATCAGTGACATAAAGTGGACAAGGGCCACTTGGATGGCCAGCACAATATACATTTGAATAGTTTTTGTTATTTGTGTACTAGCTCTAATGGAGATTAGAGATGAGACATTGTCTGGGTGCCACCTTTTAACTGTCACCTACAGGTCACGCTGTTCTGTGCAATTTCCTTATATTTTGCAGCTTTGACAGATTTCAACGGATGCCCGCCCCATCCTGGAAGATAAACAGATAATACAACCAATAGTAACACGAGTTTTCAGTAGCAGGCTCCGCCTTTACGTGACGGGCGTTACTTTGAGCCAATCAGCAGCCTAGATTTCGTGCCTCTAAACCGGATACCGATTTCCGAACCAAGTGTAGCCAAATAGCCTGTACTTTGTTTACGTTCCGTTGGTTAGCTGACAGCCGCTGTAGCGCTTTACCCTCACACACAGCCGTGTCTGCATGTCTTGCCTGGAGCTTCGCAAACTTTAAACCGAGTGTTCCGGATGTCGTGGATGGGTTGTTTTGTTGAATGAGGGGGACCCGCTAGATGCCGACAGGAGGATGAACTCCGTCACCGGTCGGGTTCTCGCCATCCCCGCCGCCTCTGTCACTAACTCTGGAACTTCATCCTCTCGAGCCTTGCATGTAGAGCTCACTTCCCAGCAGGTAAATGCAAAGCCCCTGAACCCAGCTTACTACGAACTGCTTTCAAATGACACAGGAAAGCTTTGACTGGGCCGCCTCAGTGTGTTATATATTAGTTTACAACGTCAGTTGCAACTGCTGCCTGGAGGAACACGGCGGGCCTGTCAGGCTAGCTAGTAAGCTAGCAACTGCTAGCTTGCAGTTAGCTAGCTTACTGTAAATTAATGTAAGCTAACTGGACTGACACTCAAGGCACACTAACCACCAGTTAGGCTCGTGATGGGCTTTCTGAGTCAGGCTTTTTTTCAGCGTGTTGCCCAATTTTGAGGATATATATCTTTCTTCACGTTTAATTGTATACGAAGCTAGCACGCTTCTGCTAATGGCAACTTAACTTGGCGTCAGGTGACAGCTCCGCTGAAGGGTATCGTCTGTCATAACTGTGATGTTATATTGTCTTATACAGTTATTTTATTGATATATGAAAAATAACAAGGCCATGAACTAATTCCATTTGTGCTTTCATGGGAAGTAAAGTGCATCTTCCATTCACCCATTCATTCACTTATCCATGCATGCATGGATGCATTCATTTGGAAAAGACATGTAAAAAGTTGGCAGTTGACAGTTCATTCATTAGGGCTACCGACCTCAGACTGTAAGCTCAGCCCCTCACAGACACACATTCCAGCACATTACTGTAATTTTCAGTAATGGTTGGATATTTATTGTAGCGAGAAACATGCATTATTGGATGTCAGTTTCAGGCTTTAGAATCATATGAATAGTCTGCAGCTTTAAAGGCCTAAACACCTGATCTGCACTGAACATCCAGCGAGTGAAGCATCTATATGCAGCAGGGGACTTGTTTCAGCTAAAAGCCTGCATCAAACCACTTTAGTCCACTTCAATAATCCCAGTATGTACAGTAACCCTTACATTCCTTGGCTCCACAATCAGTGCAAAGTTCTGATTAGATTAGATTAAAACCCTTCTCCGTGTAGTAGGTCATACTAAGCAGTATAAACATTGATAAGGAAAACAAGACATTTTATATTGGGCCTTCATTTATTATTTTGTCTTGCACCAGTAACTAACTCTTTTGTCCCTTGTTACTCGCTTAAGTTAACATTTCTGTTCATATTCTAACCCCACTTGCTTAAAAGGATCAGTTTACCCAAATTACAAAAAAAACATGTTTCCTCTGTTATCATGTGGTATCTGACCACGTAAGTAAGTTCAGTTTAATGTTTGAAATGTTCGAGCTTTTGAATTTTCTGCAGCCACCCCAATACAATGGAGGGATGAATGGGCTTTTATTTGTGCTCCTCAAAGCTTACGTTTGAAAGATTTATCAGCACTGAGATTCCATTTATTATCACATATACTTGTTGTAATGTGCTCTTATGTGTTTGTTTACCATATTTTATTGTACATTTCTATTTTTAAATGATGTCATACTATTGCACTGTTTTTACTGTACACAAAATCACCTAGCCAAATTCCTTGTATGTGTAACGTACTTAGCAATAAACAGTTTCTGAGTCATATTGGTCTGACAGCTGACATCTCAGAGACAGATCTTAAAACATCATCAAAAAAATAAATCAACTACACTAGATTATATTACTATGGGTAAGTAGAAAACATTGTCCCTTTTGTATTTAGGTGACCCGACCCTTTAAAAAGGTGTTTTTATTTGTTATTTTATGTACATTTCATATGCTCCCCCACATGATTGATCTCTCATGGAGAAGGCTGTGACGAATGCATTTCTAATTACTGGTTTCATGTATATTTTGCATGGTCAAACAGCTTTTCCCACACTCTTCTCTGGCTCCATAGTAAAACATTGTTCTGCTGGCCCGCTGGCTCCCAGTACCAAAAGATAAACTCAAGAGAGATGGTTGATGTGGGAGTTGTTACGGATGACTTGTGACTTACTATGAAAACTGAGAGTGTTATTTGGAAACACCTCGGAGCCAAACCTTTTAAAGCCACAGCAATGCCAATAACCAACGCTCAACAAAATGTCTCCTGTGCAATGTGAAAATTAAGATAATTGTAACTTTATTCCCAAAAGTTACATCTATGACCTATTTGATGTTATGCAGTAAAGGTAACAGTTTCTATTAGGAGTCAGGATTGGCTCCCCTCAGCTCTCAGCAATAATGGAGGTGTTGCACAACCAAATATTTCCTGACTAATCTCAATAGACTGTGTTTCTTTAATTTCATATTGGACGTATCTACAACCCAAAAGACCAAGCACAACGATTACTTGTTACTTTGTGTTTGCCTAAAGCCTTGGTTAAACTCTGCAGAAGGCCTGTGGCGTGGACATTTTCTCTGCCCGTCTGCCTCCGCGTAGTTACAAAAAGTTAGACGTGCACGGCTCAAATCTGCCGCACGGAACTCCCACGAACACCTGACGGTGTGACATCGCTTAGACCAGGTTATTAGGTACAGCTAGCTGAAACCATGAAATATCAATGAGGGCAGACAGCAGCACAGACTAAAACTTTATGTTAACGCATTACAGGACCAGTTAATCACTTTGTCACATTCCACCATCAGAGCAGTTTGATCACTGCAGAGAACTAATGGTGATACTTAAGTTAGACTTTGTCTGATTTTATTTTATTTTAGTCTATTATGATAATAGTGTAGTGTTATTGTTAAGAGCCCAAAACACCAGAGTAGTTTTATACAGAGTAGTTTTATACAGAGTAGTTTTATACTGCACAAGTGTACTCCCAACCGTTCCTCTCTGCATGTGGTCCACATTGGCCCATTGAGAAATGTGCATTCCCATTTTTAAGTAGGGGAGTGGGTGAAAAGTCCCTTGAACAATCAGGGGTTTTGTTTGCGAGGCCTTTAATCTTAATAAGTAATCCCATGATTTAGATTAAGTCTGAGTCTGGCTGCAGGAGGAGAGGTCTGCTGGTCAAGAGGGAAGTTGTGATGTGTGTTCGCCTGAAGCGGGAACTTGCCAAATGGCATCCGTCTTTGCCTCTTGTGTACGTACACACACACACACCGCTTTTTTAAGGGTCATTTATTTTAGATAAAGATATTTTGACTGAAGTGATTTTTGGAAGCAGGTTTTTTTTGATGAATATTGAAACAATGCAGATGTTGGTGGATTGGTTTAGAGATTCTCTAATGAGTCATGCAGGTATTTCTCTTTTAAGTCTTTACTCGTCTTTACTGTGTATCTCTGGTATATGCTGGCTTTAAGATTAACTGATGATTAACTGACTTTTGTTCCATGTAGATGGAGAGCTTTAATTTTAATAAATGATGTTTTTTCTGTATTTGGCTCATTTTGTTTTGGAGATTCTTTGATAAATCCTTTCAGAGCTAAAAGTGTTGGTACACCATGTGATCATGTGACTGTCATGCCTGCCTGAGCTAACTGCCTACTTCATTCTGCCATGAAGATGTAATGCCTCTATTATTTGAACCGCTGACATCCAGAAGACTGTCACAGCTGGTGGTGCCTCTGTGCACGGGAAACTACAGCTATTTTAAGCTGATTATGTGTAGGATAAAGAATGTGGTACTTCATTGACCCGAAGGCTTTTCACTTGTCCTGTGACGCAGTCAGTATTCACGACAGCCTCGATGGTATTTGCCTGCAAGCTTCACATGATCAGAGTGAAACTGAACACAGCAGCCCTGATATCTGTTCTTTATTCTCTAGCCATCCTCACTCTCACTCCTTCTCTTTCTACCCCCCCCCCCCCGGCCAAACAGAGACGATTGCGTCATCTCCGGAGCATCGCGGCCAGAAACATTGTCAACAAGAATGGTTCCCCACTGCTGGACACTTACTTCACCCTCCACCTCTGTATAGGAGATCGCATATCTAGAGGTCAGTGGTAACGCCCCTCACACACACACACACACACACACACACACACACACACCAGCTTGTTGCTCCCCTACAGTATGTGAGAGCTGAATGTGTTTTCTATACTTCTCAGGCTACTCCACATCCCCTATGAACTAATGTACAGAAGCCACGGTGGTCATGACAAATATGAAAATCCAAATGTCTTTAATTGTCAGTATATGAAAGACAGATTTAGTTTGTAAAGCAATTTACTGAGCATCTTGAGCCAAACT